TTACAGCGCCTCTAGCGAATTAGGTAAAATAGCTCGAGATAACTGCGAAGTGAAATCAAAGATTGGAATCTATTCTAATTCAGCAAATGAGCCCCCCAGAAAATTTGATGAGTTCATGAATTATCCTTACCAAACTAAGAGGACTTGGGACTGGTTTTGAAAATAAAAGAATAGTTAAAGACAAAGAAATCACAGAAACTGATTTCAGAAAATCATACGAAATTTTTGATTTCATAAAAATCATAGAAAATGCGCGAAAAATTCTCACATTGCACAAATGCAAAGAGAAACTATTTCTAGAAATGTGAGAACAATCGTTTTTGTCCGTAAAAGTAGAACACAGAAATCTGCTGCGCTTCTACAGCTCAGGGCATAGAGAACCGACAGAATTATGCTTCTTTCTGTGTCCTTGAATAAATTTTTAACAGATCTTTCGCTCAGTGCTGATCTCACGACTTCAGATGCCTTCCTCAGAAATCTCTCTCTGTACTGCAAACCAAAGAATGCATTCTTTGCTGTGACAGCGCAGGCTGAAAGCGCTATGTCCGTTCCCCCATGAAATAAACTGGGTGTTTTCCGCAATGTTCCCCCGGCTGATCCAGTAGAATATTGTATCACTGTGAGTAATCGATCCTCGCAGTAGCGTCTTCAAAACGAATGTGGCAGCATGAGGAGTGCGGGAGTGAGTAGTGCTACTGCTGATCGGCACACTCCCCGGATGCGGCCATGTTTGCAAAGCAAATGAGGTTGGATGAGACGAGACTGGCCGGCGAGTGCCGGCACCCGCTGCTGTCACCGCCCCAGCAACCCTCCTTCCCCCTTTCTCCCGCCCCACACTACCCCTTACCCCGAGCAAGTCCAACAATGGCTCGTATCTCACGAGATTTCAAGAAGCAACCAGCGAGCACTGCACAGTCAGGTCCAACCGGACGACGAGTGACAGCAATTGCGCACCACTACTTTGGTGCACATGGAGGAAAGACGGAGAAGCAAAATGGGACTCGAATCGAACCGAATCGAAAAGAACTAGCCGCACCTCTCTGCACTGCACCTTTGTTTGCTAAGTGACTAACCATAATTCTCGTTTTCCAACTCTTGAATCCTGCCTTTACCGCCTCATACCTCTCTTAAACATTCCCTCCCGAGAGATCCCGGAAATATAGACATGGATTCTCAATGCTTGATTTAAGGCACTGGAAGCAGATTTATGATATCCAAAAAACACGCCTGTTTTAAATAAACAAATGTGAGCACCAAGCGGCCGGTGTGTTTACTTATCTCACGCTGCAGGCTCACAGATGACGAATACGGCAAAACATCAGCCGTCACGATGAGTCACTTTACGTCATTACGGTAGTTTATTTATGCGCAAAAATACTAAATATAGGACATGTGAAAAGCAAGTGAAAGTTCGAGTTGGAAATCTGCTGGCACATTTTTGACTCTGAAACCAGACTGATTAGAAAGCTGTTTTATGAGAAATATTGCTGTCCATAAGCGGCCTTGCAAATAACAAATCATTGGCGACGCGCACTGGGCGAGCCCGTGCGATCATGCTTTTTGCAGTATTTCGTGCTATTAGTAAGACCGTTGGAAATCCCTGTAGTTAGAATTTGTGACATATTGGTCCTCAGAATTCAGGAAGTTAACTGTGCAGCTGTTGTGGTACTGGAACAGGGAACATTCTGTTAAAATTTTAGCTTTTCAGTTTTTTCGGTTCCCGGATAAGCGTTTTTCTCCCAAAAAACTTTCACGTGGTCGTATGCAGGGCCAAGACATGCGTGAGAGTTGGTGTTGCGGCCCATACACACACACACACACACACACA